TGTTGTCTTATAATTAGTCCCAATAATTGCGGCCCACTCTTATTTTCTTCTAAATTAAATTACAAAAACATCCCTAGACTACACAAATCTTGATTCTTAGATCTTATTTTGTATTTGAAATTTTATTGCTTTCATGCGTGTTTCTTTATTCACACACCTCATGTCATTTTAGGTTTAATATTCCATATGAATTCAATTAAACCCACTTTTCCAACCAAAAAAAAAGGAAAAAGAAAAAAGAAAAAAAAGTCCAAAAATACTTTAGAAAAGTCATTCATCTCAATAATAATAAATAAAAATAAATAAACTCCAGGCTTCTGAAGCTTTGCTAAGTTAATAATTCGTGAAATGGAATCAGAGAATTAGGATATAGATACTAGTGTGATTGAGCTTAAAGGTAAATATTTCCAAACTAAATCATAGACATACCAAATCATAGATGTTTTGTGATAAAATCATTCGTGTGTACAGAGAAATATTCAAAAGTTTTAATCGTCCTTGTTTTTCTCTCTGGCGATTCTTCACCTAAGTTTCACTTGAACTGTCATGTGCTGAGAAATGTTTAAAGGTTTTAACTGTCTATGTTTGTATGTCTGATGATTTGTCACTTAAATTTCACTTGAACTTTGAGACACCAGAATCCAAACTTATTAACTTCAATGGAGGAGGGCAACTATGGCATTAAAAATGTAAGAATCAAGGTTTACGAATTTTTTGCGAATTTTTTGCAATTTTATTTTAAAAGAGTAAAGCCTATATTAAATCAGTGATAATAATAAAGGCACCAATTATTTTGACTAGTCTAATATCTTCATAATACCTTGTATCCATACCGTCCATACAAATGTCAATATATATACCAGTCTCATAGTGATGATCCAAAAACCCTAACTAAATCATAACCACCTCAAAATAGAAGGTAACCCAAAATTACAAGCAAGTCTCCAAAAACACAACACTCTCCATGGCAACCTCAAAGTAGCTTGCTCACCAAGGTTAGGACCTGAAAATATCTTGTAAAAGAAAATGGTGAGCTCTCAAAGAGTCCAATAGTTTTCCAAGATTTGAGAAAATTTGCATAAAAATGAACTTCCTTTAATAGCGTAACACATAACCGAAATAAATAGTCAAATAATTTTAAATAAAGAGATGCATATAGGAGGGATGACAATACTTAACACGTCACACCACAAAGATATCACGAATCACTAACATTATATGTTGTACTCGACACAGTAAGCTAACATGATGAAATTACATTCATGCTAAAGTTAAAAGATGACACAGCTTATAGGCCAAGCTAGGAGGTGTTTCTTTGAGACCTGGTGAGAGGAAGAATAGCTATGAAAGACAACTGTAGCTTAATTGCCTTTAGCATTTTGACCTGGTTTACTTGTGTTGTATTATTAATTAGTATGGTGATGTTTGATTTTGTCATTGGTGGCTTATATTTAAAAACCTATCTAGCTATGTAGTATGGACACGCCGATATGTTCACATGTTAAATTTTAAAAAGTAAGATACAGGTACGATTTGAAAACGACTATATATAAATATAAATTTTTATGTATATACACGTATTGAACAATAGTATTAAAATAATTTAATTCAATTCTAATTTTTAGACTCACAGTTTGTAAAGACTTTTATATCATATATATATATATATATACACACAAACACACACACACACACAATCATTTTACAATTTTATCATAATAGCATTTTTAATTTGAATGAACAACTATTATTTAATACTTCATGTGTCATCATATGTGTATAATGTCAAATTGGCCTATTATTTATTTTTCACTTTAATTGAATTAAGCAAATTAATTACAAATCCGTCAACAATTCTCGTTAAGATAAAAATTGCTCCTCCAACCTCTTATTACGAAGAAATAAAAAAAATATACGTCTTGAAATCATATAATCAAGACACACAAACACCTGTCCCAGTTTACTATCAAACATTTTTGTAGTTTGTGTCATTATTTATTTGGTATACCAAGGGACAATATTAAATTCATTTGATTAATTTTCAACTAAATTCATTTATATGAGCCATAGTTCAAGTTAGATTCATTTTCTTTGTCATTAGTATCCTAGATTACACAAATTCTTGATTCTTAGCTCAGTATGGCTATCTTCTTTTTGCCTTGCAAAAGCTTGTATCTAAGATCACTATTCCTTCCAAAAACCCTATCAGTTTGACTGGTGTTGCTTAACAAGTATGATCTCTCTTGGTAAAAGAATTGAATAGCTTATAATGGTGAAGCTCATAACCCACCAAGCACTCAAGAGTCTCAGATGCATCCTAGCATTACATTTGGGAGCAACAAAAAGAATACAGGCATATAATATTTCTAAGATAGTTTATTAAGCAAAACAACTAAAAAAGGGTGGGGTCTGCAAAAGTCTCAAATACATCAAAAGTCCTCTTCAACTGATTTCCTGAGACTGCCTATTCCAATTTTTTCCTTTTTCTTCAAAAAAAAAATGCAAGACACGGTCAAATATAGCAGAAAAACTTTCCCCTAAGAAATTTTTTTAGCTCCATGTTGAAGGTTCCTTTTTCTCTTTTGAGTCCATAATAGAGAATACACCAAGCCCAAGTTCTATCCCCTGTAAACACCTTTAGCACTATAGTGAGATGTTGATCAAGTGGAGGACATCATGCCCTAATCCTCCCTCATGACATCAACCATAGCAAGTAGTTTACAAGAAAGGCATCATCATCATCATCATCCCTGCCTTTATCCCGTATCGATGGGGTAGGCCACATGAATGCTTTATTAGTATATACCATGCCATCTCTTAAATCTAGTTTTTTAGAGTCATTCTTTATTACTTCATCCCAAGTAAGTTTTGGTCGGCCTTTCCGTTGCTTACCTTCTAGGAAAACTACTTTTCCTCTTCTAACAGATGCATCATCGGATCTGCATTGAATATGGCACTACCTTGTGTACCCCTCACACATTCATTATAAATTCTCTCTCTTCTAGTTACTCCTATCATCCAACATAGCATCCTCATTTCCACTGCATGAATGCGTTGTTCTTGTGATTTTTTAACGCCCAACACTGCATATAATGTAGCTGGTCTAATAACTGTTGTATAAAAATTTCCTTTTAATTTATTCAGTATTCTTTTGTCACAAAGGATATACCTAACTTGCCTCCATTTTGTCCACCCTGCTCCAATCCTACTTACTACATCTCCATCTATCTCCCCATCTTTTTGTATTATTGATCTTAGAAAACGAAAAAGTTCTTTTGAGTTATTCTATGGTCTTGAATTGTAATAAATATACTGTCATTGTTTGTTATTTATCAAATTTGCATTCCATATTTTTGTCTTAATTTTACTAATTTTTAAGCCTTTTGCTTCCAATGTCTTTCTCCATATTTCTAATTTTGTTGCTAAGGCATCCTTAGAAGTGTCTATTAAAACTGTCATCAGGAAATAACATACACCATGGAATGTTTTCTTGAAGATATTTAGTTATTTCATCTAACACTATCGCAAATAGGTATGGACTTAACACCGATCCTTGGTGCAATCCCACTTTTATAGAGAATTCACTAGTTTCTCCGCACCTAGTATGGACTCTAGTCAACGTCTCATTATACATATCCTGCATAAGATTTTTAAGTTTTACGGGTACTTGTTTTCTTTGTAGAGTCCACCAAATTATGTCCCTTCGCACTCTATCATATACCTTTTCTAAATCAATGAAAACCATATGCAAGTCTTTTTGTTTTCTCCGATATTCTCCTATTAGTTGTCTTATTATGTATCTTCCATAGTGGATCTACTAGCATAAACCCGAATTGGTTATCAGATATTGATGTTTCTTTCCTTAATCTTTGTTCAATTATCCTTTCCCATAATTCTGCTAAATTTGCAGTTTACAAGAAAGGCAGTAAGAAGATGAACATGGTAATAGTTCTGCTCAGCTTACTTTTAAACCACCTCAAGCCAATCTTCTAACCTGCAAACATTTCATGCGCTCCTTCACTACTTGGAAGACTGCAAAGCTTGCATGCATTTTAAGTAGAATTGCAATGCTTTATAAAATTCATCCTGACGTTAAAAACTCAACCTGCCTTCTCCATGGTCACTATATGAACAGCTAGTGAGCTGAGGATTGCAATTTCTTGCCCACACTGGTAAGTTAAAAGAGTTAATTCCAATTGCCAACAGTTGGCCAAAGTCATTGGAAGTGTGGAAAAAAAACTCCATTGACATACAAAATATAAAGAAAGCAAAAGCAGAAAAGACAGAAGCAAAATGGCAGAAGACATTAGGAGATCGGGATGCACTCGCAAGTAGGGAATGAAGGGTTCTCAAGTCTCCTAGAAAAAGAGTCCAACTTTTTGTGCTGCCTGACGATCTTAATGAGAAATCAAACCTTGATGCGGGACCAAAATATATATATATATATATATATAGGATGAAAATACTCTGAAACCAAATTGATGTAGAATAGAAAGAAAGATGGGGATAAGAAGACAGAAAATGATATGAGGCTAGAAGGAGATGTGAAGACAGATGAAAGGGGTGAAAAGACATATTGAAAACATAGGTTGGATGGACCGAAAGGTGAGAAGAGCAAGAACAATGGAGGGAGACGAACAAGAGAGCAAATTCTGAAATCACAATTTCCCATAATCAAAATTGAATTGTTTGCTTACATAATAGACTTTATATAGGAAAAAAACATAAACAAACTCTAAGAAACCCCTAAGATAATAAGAGACTAAAATATCCCTTAAATTAAATAAAAAGTAAATAAAAATTAACTAATTATCTGTCCTTGCCCCTGATCCAAAAGTAAAGGCAAAACACATGCAGCTCATTTGTGCAAATCACATCTCGTTCCTAAACCTCCTTACTAGCCTTTTTGTTGCAGATCCTAAATGACCATGAAAATATAGTGAATATCATTTATAAATGAATGGAAGGCCAAGACAAGCTTTGAATATCAGTTTAGGGTCTAGTGTGAAACTTAATAATCTATAAAAAGGTTGTCAGAAGCTAAAAAATACAGCCTTCTGCGGTCCAACATTAAACATTGTCAAGCCTCAGCTGAAGATCAAACTATCAAACTATCAAGCCCAACTCAACTCCCTCTCGACGGAGGACCAATTTCACTTGGTCATTTTCAGCAGCTTCAAGCATGCAACATTCAGTCTCTGCCGCAATGTGCTTTAAGTCAAGCAAACTCAATATCTGGATGTTTCCAAATGCCAATTCGAACATGCCTGTCATCCTTGCACCTTTACTTTGCCTGAGGTCCACAACTTCTTTCAAAATAATCATGAAGCAACCTTACAACATCAATGCCCGAGTCTCAGTGGTATCATGTATAGAATACATTGTCTCAAGCATTTTACATCATGATTCAATCCCACGTGTCCATGTTGCCTCAGTTTCACCCAGTAATCCTAGCCTTAACAAGATTGAAATTGACAATGTAGTTTCTCGAGATCGCAAATCTAGGCATAAACAACATCCTTTAGGAATCTTCTGCTATCAATAGAAAATTTCGTTGAATCAGCCAAAATAGGTTCTCTATTTAGTCAAGAATGATGTCTAAAATTGATGCATAATTTACGATATGAAGGCTATCGCAAATGACTCAGTAGTTACATAAATCATGGAATGAAGAGCCAATGAAGAAAAGAAAAAACTTTAATTACCTGTATTAATGATTCCATGTGACGTCTCATTCAAGTGTGCATGAAACCTTCTGAACACTGCTCAAAAATGCGCATAGAAGATATTGAGAAATTTACAAGGCCGCCACATGTAGAACAAGCTTTATTGTTCAAGCAAACAGCATATAAATTTATAGAAAAATAAAAAACCATGCATGTCGATATGTCACACCCAGAAAATATTTATTATTCAATTAAACAAATAAAGAAGCACAAAACAGAATTAAAGAGAAACTAAATCACAAGAAGATAAATTAAGCCACAAGCCGGTTTATAAGAGGCAGCATGTAAAATAAGGTACAGTATTCTTCATAGGGTCAAAACAGCAACTATAATAACCAAGATAAATGATGAAGCATATTATAAGTATCAGCATTTTCATGTGCTCATTTTTATGATTATAGCATATTTTACTATCAATACTCGAGAAAGATAGCGAAGAATTCAATAAAAAATAATAATAAAATAAAAATAAAATCGAACTACTTCTGTCTACACGTCACCTTGCCTTGCCAGACCATTAACACTGATTTTAAGTCTAAAATGGAAAGGTCTAGAGAGGAGAAGAAAGGCTCAAGGCATTCACTAATGCTGAAAAATATTTTTCTATTGGGTGCTGAAAAATATATATATGATAGGGTTATTAGAGAATAATAAGTTCGTTTTGTCAAAACTAAAAGAAAAAGGAAAAGAATCTAAACACAGTGCAAGAACAAGTGGGGAATAACAAGAGCATTTAAAAAAAAATTGTTTTTGGTAAGTAAAACTGAAACACAATACAAATAGAATATAATATGATAAATTTAAGATTAGAATTATTCAAGAAAAAAAGAAAAAGAAAAAAAAAAAAAAAAAGATTACGATTAAGGGAACTATTCAATTACTGGTTGAGAAATACCCTTAAGGCTACCATAGAAAAACAAGTACCCATAAGCAACCATTCTCGCCACCATGGATAAGCATAAAGGACCCAATCTAAGCGACCATTGCTCCTAGGGCTGAAATGGACAAGATAAGATGGTACAAGTGCTTCTAGAATGCAGTGTGGCCACCGAATAGCAATTACCAAATGAACTAAAAGCAAAAACTTAATAAGATTGCTGATAAGCAAGCCATGCTTGATAGTGCAAATATTGTGTAGCGTTATATAAAAATAAAAAATAAAAAACTAAAGGAAAAAGGAGAACTTGTCCATCAAATAAGCATAGCTGAAGTTAGAATGATGAGAAAGATAAATGGCCATAAATAAATTAATACATTCTCAGAAATTGTTCAGGCGGAAACAGAAAAGAAAAAGAATAGAGAGAGTTATTTACAAAGGGTTGGCCATGTGCAAAAAAATTGTTCAAGATGGTTTCATTCAAGTGGGAAAAATTAAAAGCATAGTGTAAAGGGGCGGGAGTATGAGGTAGTGAAAAAGACAAAATGGTCTACAATTCAAACAAATATTATGGCCCTAGATGGAGTTGAATAGCAAAACAGGAATTTTGTAGCTAAACCAAGAGAGATGAAGTTGCAGTGAGCACTCAACTCAACTAGAAAAAAGAAACTTGTTTAAATCCAAGGGAACATTCTAAGAACTTGTTCTACTGGGCCTTCCGCAAAACCTTTTGGCACCTTCAATCTAAATCAAATCAGTGCTCCATGGTCTATAATTTTGCATTACAGAGTCCAGAATGTACATATAATTTGCATGAAATTATAAATTGATGTAAGGAATGACGCAATTTAGGCACACAGCAATCTGACCTTGACATGATAGCTAACATATGCATGGAATGTTGATAAAATCCAAACAGTTCTGTCCAGTTTTTTTCCTTCTACATGGCGTGGGAAAATGACTGCATTTATCAAATACAGTAAGATGTTATTGCAAGAAACAAAATGGATTAACAACCCTATTCAATTATCTTATATTACCAAAAGTAACAAATCCCGCATTTGCATGTATTGCTTCAACAGGAACTCCCTTCAGTTCTAGAGGAGGAGAGGAGACCACGAGCAGGAAGGGGAATTGCTAAGTCCAGCTGTACGCCTTGCTTCCACAAATTCCTGAATGATACCAATGTTAAGGACGAAAGGGAGAAAAAGAAGGAATTTTTAAGTCCATAAATAAGAAGATTTACAACAAAGAAATTCTTGAAAGTTCAACAATAAACTATATACGTGTGTGCTTTATAACATGTAAAACTACATGTCTCAACATCTCATAACAAAGTTTGGGTATATGATACCAGTTAAATACGGCTACCACTAGTCACCAACAGGATGGTCTAAGTCCAACAGTGGGAAAGAGAAATGCAACAACAATTTACCAAAAGTTCCTTAAGGTTCCCATCTATATATATTCCAATGACATGAATGTTTAAAAAGTAGATCCATGTTTCACAAACTGTTACATGGAATCCTTAATTTACCCAAAGGCCTAAGGTGCGAATGATGGAAAAGTAGACATTAGGACCATCCACGTTTTCCGAAGTTTAGAAGCAAAAAAATTGAAAAATCAAACAAAGACCAAACAATCTAACTTCTCCAAGACCATGTAACATACTACAAAGTATAGCATAACTATCAGCATATCATAAAATGCCTCTTCTCCAACACCATCAGCATTCATATCTATGGTTCAAACCATAACGGGCTCAGCTAAAGTCGAGTTCGTTACAGTCCAATAGATATATATATACATATATATATGTACACACATATATATATGTATGTATATCATTGTGAATAAAAAATCAAAACAGATTCAGTAGAGAATAGGAGTGACTGTGACTCTGTAGAGACACCTTCTTGGCCACTTATCCATCAGCTCTAAACCCAATCAAAGAACCATACATCCGCGAATCAAACCATAATATACAAGATCATGGCCTAAATCTTGGATCAAACCAAGTCCAACCTTCAAACTAACTGATAAGTTTTTATTTTTTTATTATTATTATTATTTTTTGTTTTTTCAGTTGGATGTAACATGGAAGAGTTGTATGACGACGATCCATACATTTTGTTCATATATCTTGCACAAATTCATCAATTTTCAATTTTTTTCGAATTGACTTCAAAGAGGGAAGTGTTTAACACTCTTGTATTCTCTCAAACAAATGTATATATACTAATTTCCTTGTGTTATAGATCACATATAAGTTGCAGATTTATTTGTTTAAGATTTTTTGAAAAAAAAAAAATTTCTGTATCTTTTATTTGATAATTTTTTAATTGATTGTTTAAATTTTATATTTTAGTAATTGAGAATATTGAGTGAATCCATTAATATACATTATACACTATATGTATTGTAATTTGTAATATAAGTGAAAACTCCAAATTAGTATGTTTAAATTATTAGTAATGGCAGAAAATACAACGTACAGCCAAAACTCATATTAAATCATCTTTAATATTCAACAAAATCAACTAAAAACGTAAAAAACAGATATTTCTTAGATTTTGTAGTTGAAAATTCTGTAATAGTTTATCTACACCATGGCATGCAAGGTCAATAAAGTTTCACAACTGCAGTTTCTGAAACCATTACATAACACCTGTAACACTTCACACAACGTCCACATTTGCGGCCGTGTACGGTATTTAAAAACTTTGTTCCTATCTATTTCAATATTTTTAAAGAATACTTATTTAATTAATGGGTAAAGTAGGTCAGAAAATAATTTGATAGTATACTCTTGGTACCAGTAAGAAAGAAGTTGCAAGAACAGTATCTATGGAATCCTTGAATCTCATAGGAAAAACCAGTCACTTTATCTACCTGCCATAAACAATTGCAATATGTTACTCAGCTGCCTTTCAAGTAGACTCGCTTCTACTGATCCAATGAAAATATACACAGATGAGTAGCCGGAATAACATACATTCTGCAACGACTTACAAACTTAATTTCAAAAATGACATTTATAGATAATTAATAATGAATTTATAAGTGAAGTAAATAAATTAAGAAAAAGTATAGATGAAGATAATCTAAGTCACCCAAAGCGGGTGCAGGAGGAGCGTGGAAGAGGCAACATCTAAAATTTGGTCACTGCGGAAGCACCTCCAGAGCACATATACACTTGTACACTATTATGTGTATGTATAAAATAAAAAATGTGTTTCATCTATAAGTAACCTTATTTCTTTTCTATTAGAGAGATATAATATTAGTATTAATTAAAATACAAAAATTATAGCATATTTTTATTTTTAAAGAAATGCGACGTAAGAAATTCATATATTTATTCTAGATTCTTAAAAAGAGAATGTTTTATTTTTGTACATGAAATGACAACTTTAAAGTATTTATAATTTGTTTGCAAATATACATATATGTGTCTATACACTGTACACAGACATTTAATATTTTTAGACTTATATAACAAAACAAAAGTGATCAATATAAGGCGAACAATATGACAATGATATGTCATTCTTTTTTTTATAGTGTAGGTTTATTCTTAGTTTTGTACATTTCAAACCATTTTTATTCAGTATTAGGCACATTGGGTAATTGTCATAAATAATAAATGTTACATATACTTGTCCATTGAATAGATAAAATCATTGCGAATTCCAGGATTCACAAAATTGAATTCGCGAATTATGGAAGGATTTGCTCTCTGAGCGCCAATTCGCGCGCACGGAGCACAAGAGCAGCACCACTTTAGAAGGTTTGTGTGACTTAGAAGATAATATGAATAGAGCATTTCTCTTTCCTTTTTTTTTCTTCAGGGTGGACTGGGGGGGAAGAGGTTTAGTTGGTGTATTTAGCATAGAAAAAACTCCTGTTGTTGGATGAGGTTTTGTCATTGAAACAAAATTTCTACCTGGGGAACAAGGAAAAAAGACTCTTTAGGCTCTTTAGAGGAACAAGCCTATCCATATCCGGAGCAACAGTCCTTGAAGCAAGATGTTTTTAGAACTACTCTTAATGGGGCACCCAGGACTACTTCCCTCACAGATGCAATCTTTACCAAAAGAGCATGTTTGTACTCTGTACAATATCAGCAATAAGAGCCATCAGAATGCACGATTAACACATGGAAGCAACATCCAAAAGTGCAAGAAAAATATGAAATTCTTTTACACAATATGTTTCAGCATTATAGATTAAATGAACTCTTAATAATTAAAGAATTCAATACGGTTGTATGGAAATTAATATTTGACATGAAAGAAACACAAAATTTTAAGCATGCTGACTCTATCCAGATATTGTGCTTTATAAAGGACTCAACTATGGATATTAGGCCACCAGGCGGTTTATCCTCAATTCAGCAATGAGAACCATCAGAAATACACAACAATAACACATGGCAGCAACACCCAAAAACTTCGCCAGAAAAATATGAAATTCTTTTACACGATACGTTCCAGCACTATAGAATAAATTAACTCTAAATAATCAAAGAATTCAACACAATTGTCATTTATAAAGGACTAGACAATGGCTATTAGGTCACCGGACTGTTTATACTCAATTAAGTAATGACATTTATCATGGAAAATATAAAAAACAACAATGCAACAATCATAACATTAAATCACCATGCTCAAATAACTATATGACATTTGCTAGTACCTATAAGTAAAAAAATAGTATTCACTGGTAAATAAAGAAGAAAAATAGTGAAATTATCAAAACATGAGCCCCAAACAGCAAGGTAAACAGGAGTAATAAATGTCCAGAATCCCTCAATGCACTAGCAACCTATTGGACTTCAACCAATATTTAATCAATAATCTTCAATGCTTGTCCATTACAAGAGAGATTCCTAATGGCGCAACTCTTTCATTCTTGTCTTCTAACTTCTGCTTACTGTTTTTGCAAGCCAATTCATTGCTTTTACTGCCTTTTATCCTTGCTCGGATAAGAATAGGCAGCCATCGTTTCACGTCATATTTAATTTTTCAGTACTAATTGAAAAGGTTTATTGCTTAGTTACAAGAGGAAAAAGGGAATTGCTCAATGAAATGGTAAAAAGCCGGACTGCCTAGAGTGTTAAAAAAGGTTCTAATATGAGGACACTAACTTCATACAGATAGGACATTATGCCGGTAACCAATTCACCCTCCCACCACCCAACAGGACAGCACCAACACTGCTCAACTTGACTAAAAAAAAGGTCTTTTCCCAACCTTTGAGTCCAACTAACACTAGGTAATAGCTTTTTAGAATTAAAAAAATTAAAGTGGAAGCTTCAAGCCACTATCCATATGTTGAATAGTAAGATACTTCATTCTTCTAGGTGTCAATTTGACCAAGGCCCTGGATAAGGAAAAATATGTATTTTATGGAAGAGCGGTGATTTTAGAGCTGAATTAAGTAATTATAGAATTTAATTTAGGGCAAAGTACAGAAAACCCTCCTCAACTTGTAGCCTTTTTCCAGTAAACCCCTCTTGTCTATTTTTTTACCAAAGAACCCCCCTCAACTTGTAACCCTTTCCAATAAATCCCCCTTGTCTAATTTTTTACCAAAACAACCCTTCTCAATTATCTGAAGGGGGTAAAAGAGTTAATATTTGGACCAAAATGCCCTTTTATTTAAAACTAAATTCTTTAAAAATTCATATCTCACAAATTGTAAATTTAAAAATTATAAATAATATATGCACTAAAAGCTTATGAAATAAGGATTTCAAAAATATAAGATTTGTACAACAAACCTTCAAAACCAGAGAGAAATAGGCAATCTAAAAATCTACTCCAATAATCTTATTTTATTTTTAAAAAATAAAATACTCGAGATATTTGCAAGAAAATTTTCAGAATTATTCATTTACATATAGAGCCGAATATATAAAAAATTTAGCCCCAACAGAGATCGATTTCATGAGATATCATATTTTGCGTCAAAGTATTTTCATTCTTTTATAGACTCACCATTTAAAAAATAAATAAAAATGAATATTCGGTCTCTATTGGGGCTAATTTTTTTATATTTTATGCTCCATATGAAAATGAATAATTTTGAAATAAAAAATTAAAAAAAAATAAGATTGTTACAGTAGATTTTTAGATTGTCTATTTCTCTCTGGTTATGAAGTTTTGTTAAACAAATCTTATATTTCTAGAATCCTTATTTTATAAACTTTTCGTTAATATATTTTTTTGTAATATATATATTTTTTTTATAAGTAATAATAACATAAAAAAGGTGTTCAAAAGGGGAACATGTCCTTTATACAAAAATGGAACCGGGACTAAGGCCCCAGAGAATTCCAAAAAATAATTAAATCATCAGAAGAAGAACAAGAACTCCTCTTCACATAATTGAAAAGAGAACGAAGAATGTGATGTTTCACCATTGCCGTAAACGACTCTTTATCTTCAAACATTCTACAATTTCTCTCCTTCCAAATGCACCATCAAACACAATGTGGGACAACTCTCCAGAAATTGCGTACATGCCTTCTCACACGACATCCTCTCCATACATGAATCAATTCCTTAGTAAATCGTGGCATTACCCAATACATGCCAAATAACCCAAAAATAAGATTCCAACAATCATTCGCCACAGGGCAATGTATAAGGAGGTGATCAACAGACTCCCCATCTTTCTTGCATAGACAACACCGATTAACAATACAATTGTCCCATTTCCTTAAATTATCAATTGTCAAAATCTTTCCCCAAATAGCAGTCCAAACAAAGAAAGCCACCCTAATTGTTGCCATCGATCGCCAAATAGTTTTCCACGGGAAATCATAATTAACAAAATGAGACAGGCATAAGAAATATTATTTGTAATATTTGAATGTACGGTTTGTGATATATGAATTTTTGAAATTCGAGAAAATTAAGATTTAAATAAAAAGGCATTTTGGTCCAAATATCAACTCTTTTACTCCCCTTATATAGTTGAGGGGGGTTCTTTGGTAAAAAATTAGACAAAAGGTATTTATTGGAAAGGGTTACAAGTCGAGAGGGGTACTTTAATAAAAAAATTAGGTAAGGGGTTTACTGAAAAAGGCTATAAGTCGATGGGGAATTTTCTGTACTTTGCCCTTTAATTTATGTTAAAGAGGTGGTGAATTACATCACCTGACGACATGGTGAAATCTGTCATTCCACTCACATAAATTGAATTCACTAATCCTTAAATCAATATTCTTTTGAAAACAAATAAGAGTAATAAAGATGCTCATTGAAATTGGAGGTTTTAAGTGTACTAAATCCCCCTCTATTTTTTAAAATTGGAAAAATTACTCTCCTATTTTAACTCGATATTCTTTATAGAAACACACACGAGAAATAAAGATTCACATTTAAGTTGGGAACTTGGGGGCCTTGGTGCCCGAAAACGACTCTATTTTTTAAAAAGGGCAAAATGCTTCCTGTTTTTTTTTTTGGGGGGTGGGGGGGGCAAAGACAAAAAATAAAATATTTTTTTATTGTTTTTAAGAGTCTTACAGTCATTGATGCAAAAATGAAAATAAAACCCTAATTTTGATTATAATTTTTTCTTATTTATCATTTAAAAAAAAAAAAAAAAATCATGACATTATCATGAAACTACATATTTATGGCAAATATGCATTTTTAATACTTTTATTACATTATTTTTCTCATATTCTCCTTAATTTCCTACTTTAGTTATATGTATATATACCCACATAAATATATTATATATGAATTTATTTTTTTATACTTTATCTACATCTTTTAACCCAGATGACGTAAGATTTATCTTATATATATATATATATATTGAGAGATGGACAATAAATTGAGAGACGAACAAAACACACAACTAACATGGACAATACAAAATAATTTGCAAGGATGATTTTTCAAAAAACTTTTTTTTTCTCTCTCATTAATAGTCACTTTCTTATTATTTAACTTAATTATTAGGTTAGTTATTTTAAAAAATAAAAATCTACGTTATAAAATCACCAAATTCTTTTTGGTGATCTTTAGCATTTTCCAAAAATACATATATATAGAGAGAGGAAGGATTGAAGAAGGGTGGTGATGTTGTAGCGGGAGGGAGGAACAGAATGATTTTAAAAATCATAGGATTTTTTTTAATTTTTTGTTTTATTCATGAAAACTATCAAAAATTAGAGAAAGAAATGCCATTATATTTACCTCATTCAGCTAAACAGCTCATAAAATTTCTCAATGACAAGTAAACCAGAGTCGATAGATTCCAAGGGATCCTTCCGAAGACGGTGCCTCAAGCAGTTGGGAATTACAGTTGCAATATCCTCTGCAGTTACTATATCCCTGCCTTTTAGAGTAGCCAAAGCTTTTGCTGCCCTATTTGTCACTATATCACCTCTCAACCCGTCAACATTCAGCTCCGAACAAACCTTGGAGATCTTCACGCGCAGATCATGATCCATCTGAACAGAAGAAAGAGTGCTCCTAGCTGAAGTGATTTGCTGCTGGAGCTTTTCTTGCTCTGCCTCATAAGAATCTCTAAATTCCTTTGGATTTTTATCAAACCGACTTCTCTCCTCCACAATCTTCACTCTCAACTCAGCATCCCTTACAGTCCCCACTTGTGCATGCATTCCAAACCGATCGAGGAGCTGTGGCCTTAGGGCCTGTTTGGTTGGTGTTTTACTTTGGTGTTTTTGTTGCAGGGCTTCATTTCAGGCCCAAAAACATGTTTGGTAGCACTTGTTTTGTTTTAAACAGTAAAAAACAATGTTTTAAACAGTACCAAATTTTGGCCCAAAAGTGAAACACCAAATTGGTGTTTTTTGTTGTTTCAACACTGTAGCCCAATAAAAAGCACTGTAGCGGATGAAACAGACGGCCCAATTTGTTTCAGCTATACAAACATTTTAGGTTATTTTTGCACAAATTTTGTCTCTCCTCGCCCGATACGCTCTCTACGATTCAAGGGCGATTTCCAATCGCCTCCATCTTTATTCTCGTTCTCTACTCTGAACTTGCCTAAATCTACAAGAATCAGAAGTTCAGAACCCATTTATTTCAGTTTATGTATCTGTCTGCAAGAATCAAAACCTATTATCACCAGAGTTTGTAGAGGTATGGTTCTCTTTCTTGATCATCAACCCATTTTTGTATATTTTGTAGTGTTTATCTTATCAAAACCCTAGGATTCCACCGCCCTACCCGCCACTCTCTCCTCATTTCTCTCCCTCTCTAAGCCGTTGTTCATGTAGAGTTATCGTTCTCTTCCTTGATTATCAACCCATTTCTGTACAGCTGTGCAGGCTTGATCATATTGATTATTATTTTTAGGGTATTTTCTGTTTCTTTTCTATTTCTTTGTCTTCTTGAACTAGTTTTCCAGATTTGTTGTTTTTATTTCTACTAATTACTTGATGCTTTCTTTGCTTTTTGTTTGGTACTATTTCAATTAATATAATAAATTGAAGCATGTACTCAGTAACTTAATGCAAATGATGGAGAATTTTATGATGGAAATTCTTCTAATGCTTTAGAAATTTACGATGTGTTGCCCGCTGAAGAGCTGCTGAACATGTTTCTGAAGAAAATAAACAGAGTGAAAAGTTAGGCTGGTTTGAAGAAAAATAATAATGATTTAAAAGTAAGAACTTGCAAGTAATCTTACACTTTCTGTAATTGACATGTTGGAGATGGTCCTGACTGATCAATTGTAAAGTTGTTGTATAAAAGATCACTGCATATATTATGATCCTCTTTAATGAGAATAACAATAAGAATTATGTTTCACGTATTTTAGATGATTAACTGAAAGAAATTTAAAATAAATAATAATGGTGTTGTACTTTTGGCTAATGCAACTCAAATTGATATTTTCATCACTCAGATTATATAATAATTAATACGGAGGTCATTTGTTTTAATATGTTATATATCTAGATATGAAAATTTGACATTGGTGATGTCTTGTAAAGTTGTTCACTTGCATTCTTGCATCTAAAATCCGATTGCATTGTTGAGTTTGAATCCATAAGGATGAACTCATAAGGACATATGAGACACATAATGAATACTGGGTTTTCCCCTTTTTAGATGGAAAAGCTGAACCCAAAATTTTAGGACGTTTTGTAAGCAAAAATGAGCAAAATTGCTGCGATAGAGCTTATATGAATTGAGAATCAAGATCAAGGGCAAAAGAATAACCTGGAACAGGAGATTCGTAAGAATCGAGCCAGGTTAGATGGACGTGGTTCAAAGAGCTAGTGCTCGTTTAAGACTGACTGAAAGATCAGGATGAAGCTCTGAAAATACGATTATAATGTGAATCATTGCATTCAAATTATTTAAATTGCTAATTCAAGAACTTTAACTCAATAGAAAACTGTTTTAGGGAAAAAAATTCGCTTGAGTAGTGAATTAGAGTGCAGATGTATATAATATGGATTGATCCACTTTGTTTGCTTGTACACTTGTATTGTAGCTTAGATAGGTAGCTAAGTGTACTTCAATATTTTATGATGTAATTATTTTCAAAGAGGTGCAATGTCTTTATTTATTTATTTATTTTATATTGTTTTGTTTTTATAATTTTAGGGCATCACAAAGCATGTTAGACAAGGAATCAGAATTGTTTGCATTAATAATTACGGTTATCTCGGCCTTGATCAGAGTTATATGTGGCATAGCACCTTGGACCCTTATTAAATGCAGTACACGTGCTTACAAATTACTTTTGTTATGCATATATTATTTCCTAAAATATATTTTGGCTACTCTTTCAGGCAGATTTGTATCTAGCATCTCAAATTCATGCAGCAATCAAAAGGTTCAACATCTCGCTCAATAATTTACATGCAATTTATAACTCTGTTTCAAGTGATTGCATATAAGTTGCATGTCTGAACTTTAGCATTTCCATGTACTAAATACACGGTTTTACCAAATGAAAGTTGGTTATGCTGTTTATATAAATTATAGTCTTACAGAATAGAATTTTTTTTTCTTTCTCCTTTGATTGAAAGTCGTCTTATATTAGTCATTCATCTCATTTTTATTTCATCTCATCAAAACACTCTCGTTACTTCAAAAGGTATTAAATCAAAACTCTCATTTTGATTAAAAGTTTAACACTTTTTATGTAAAAAAACTCTTGTAGGTCATTTTGAATTCAAAACACTAAATTTCACTCGAAGTTTCTAAGTTTTACATCAAAACACTATATTTCCTTTAAAGGTACCTTGAAGAAGGTCATTTTTAACCAAAAACACTCGTTTTCACTCAAAGATTCTAACTTTTTATATGAACACACTCTCGTCCTACAAATGTACCTTGAATATGGTTATTTTTAACTCAAATATCTCATTTTCACTCCTAGTTTATTACATTTACATCAAAACACTCTTGTTTCTATAAAGGTACCTTGAATAAAGTCATTTTTAACTCAAAACTCTCATTTTCACGGTAAGTTTCTAACTTGTCACATTAAAACACTTTAGACACTTCAAAAGGTACTTTGAACAAGGTCTCTTTTTTTTTTATTTTTTTTTATAATAAGTTGAATAAGGTCATTTTTATCTCAAAACTCACTTTCATCCAAAGTTTCTAACTTTTTACTTTTAACACTCTTGTTCTTTCAAACGTACCTTGAATAAGGTAATTTTTAACCTTAAATTCTCACTTTCACTTAAAATTTCTAACGTTTTACATCAAAACACTATGGTTTCCTCAAATCTACCTTTAATAAGGTCATTTTAAACTTAAAACTTTCATTCTCATTCAAAGTGTGTCTCTTTTTTACATGAAACCAATCATTCCTTCAAAAGGTACCTTAAAAAAGGTAATTTTTAACTCAAAAGTCTCGATTTTACTCAAAGTTCCTCTCGTTCCTTCCAAAGGTACCTTGCATTTGGTCATTTTTAACTTAAAGCTATCATTTTCACTCAAAGTTTTTAACCTTTTACATTAGACACTCTCATTCCTTCAAAGTATCTTTAACAAGGTCATTTTCAACTATAAAATCTCATTTTGACTCAAAGTTTGAAACTTTTTACATTGAAATTCTTTCGTTCCTTCAAAGGTACCTTGAATAAGGTCATTTTCTACTAAAGCCTCTTATCTTCTCTCCAAGTTTCTAACTTTTTACATCAAAACACTCTATTTTCTTCAAGAGGTACCATGTATAAGGTTATTTTTAACTCAAACCTCTCATTTTCAATCGAATTTTTGAACTTTTTACATTAAACACACTCATTCCTTTAATTGTGTCTTTAAAAAAGGTCATTTTTAACTCTAAAATCTCATTTTCACCCAAAATATCTAACTTTTTACATCAAAACACTCTTGCATACTCAAAGATACCTTGAGTAAGGCCCTTTTTATTTCTAAACATTCATTTTCACTCAAGGTTTCTCTTTTTTCACATCAAAACACTTTTTTACTTCAAAAGGGACCTTGCATAAGGTCATTTTTAATTCAAATCTCTCATTTTCACTAAAAGTTTTGAAAATTTTACATTAGACACTCTCATTCCTTCAAATGCGTCTTTAACAAAGTCATTGTTAACTCGAAACTCTCATTTTCTTTCCAAGAGTTTAACTGTTTACTTTCAAAACACCTCGTTCCTTCCAAGCTACCTTGAATAAGGTCATTTTTAACTCAAAACTCTTAATTTTACTCCAAGTTTCTAACTTTATACATCAAAACTCTCTCGTTACTTCATAAAAGAAACGGAAGAAAAAAGGGACACCGAGTGAATTCTAAGAAGTGTGTGTGAGAAGAAGAATGCAATGTGCGAACACTTCCTGGGTATCAACCATTCATCTGCCACTCATCAAAGCATCAAATTCACAGACCAAATTGCCATTTTCCCAAACAAGAACTCAACTTCCTAGGAGCCCTAATGCTTATGATGATGATGATGATGGTGAGAGTTCAGTGGTGACCATTCCTCTGCCTTCTCATTTGAAATCCATCACAAGCACATCAAACCCATTTGTGAAACACTGCCTCAAGCTTCGACACAGCTCTTCGTATCGCCATTCTCATGCTTCAGCTCTTGTTGTTGGCACTACCCCTATAAGGTCTCGATGTTCTCTAATCCTCCTTCATTTGATTTTTTTTTTTTGGGTTCTTTACAATTATTATTTTATAACCCACTAATTCAAATTAAAATGGGTCTCTGCTATTTATTGCCCTTTGTATTCATATATTTTAATGAATCTTTCCTTAGCTATGCTTATTGATTAGACTGGATGTGAATTATTTTTTTAGTTCTATATATGTTATATACTCTTTCAGCGAGAAAAAAATTGAAGTTTGGTATGTTAAATTTGGCAAATTATTGTTTTTTTTTTTTTTTTAAAAAAAAAAAAGGCTGTGGGATGGACATTTGGGTTCAAAATTTTAGTCTGTGGTTATGATTTGGTGCAGAGATGGTGATTCATTATTAGTTCATCATAGGAAATTTGGGGGAATTGTGAAGCTATAACTAGATTATATTTGGAAACTTCCACATAGGTTTATTAATTTGTAAATGTTTTGAGTTTTTCTGCGTTGAATTAGTGTTGAAGCTATTTTTGGTCAAAGTCGAGTACTAGTAGCATGTGTTCTGAAAAAAAAGGAGCTGTTATCCATATGGATAAATTGTATTTCATTTGTTTATTTAAAT